ATCAAAATATCACAAAGCATGTGTAAGTAAAGAAAATAGAGATTAGAAGTAGTCCAATTACTCCAATTTACTATAAACACTTTATTTGCCTCTGCTCAGAATTGTTTTCTGTAAGATTAGGTGTACGTTATCATTGCATTCAAATATATAATAGTAGTACTTAGTTTAGTTAAACAATAAAATAAATGCCCCTAACATATTATGTATACATTTTGTCCTATATATTTTTGCTTTTGGACTTAGTACCTGTAACTAAAATATGAAATAAACTACGAAAAACTATTTTTTTTAAAAAAAAAAGAATAAACTCCATTACGTATTGTCGCTAGAAGGCATTTCCAAACGCCCAAACATGGCCAGCGACTACTATATAATCATGATTTACTGAATTTTATAAAAAAAATTAGTCGAGAATCTTAAAGACTTATAGCAATGATTAATGAATTACCTACCTATGAATATCCGAATTCAAACTTATCAAAATTGAATAATTTATCTCAAACATTRCAATATAATTTACTTTCATTTTTAAGTTACTTATATAGATTGGGGCTATTCCTAATTGAATATTATTTATAGCAAAGTTAATTTCTACATTGAGAATCATTTTACTCGATAATTTAACTTTACACTTTTGCCCCTATATATTAATCTTAATAAATTATAATATTGCGTGTATTTATTTCAATATTCATTTACTCAAAAAGTTTAAAAATAATATACACATCCATATAATATACAATTATTTAGTTACCTATATACTTTTATAAATTTAATGTATTATATGATTGTATTATTAAATGTACGCATTTTAAAATATTATACATAGCTATATTTCAAAAATGAATAAKAAATTTAAAKAAGAAATAGCAATGATAATATATAAAATATCCTTTAAATTTAATTCGTTGTTATTAAAACACGATCATTTTTACTCAGTGTTCTTTTCAATACATATACTAAACACGTGGGTAGACTGTTAAAAAATATATAATTATAGTTTATTGAGTTTTTCTGTAGCACTTTTTYTGGAATGACAACATAATTGTTACAGTTAATTCAAATAATAGTTATTTAATATATGTTACCTGTACACGATGGGTATTCAAAAAAATGTTATGACAACAAATTATATACCTACTACCACCAAGCCTTAAGCCATCCCTCTTCTTAGGAATAACACTCCCATAATATTTACAACTATACCTACAAGAGGTATTGTACATTTCTAATATGCAGCTGACTACAGTTAGAATATAATTATAAATTATCTTGTTAGATATTATTCCTGTATCAAAGATCAAACTAACCGAATAAGTTTTTCGCCAAATGGTAYATTATTGTATTATTTTTATGGGACATTTCTTTAAACTATTTTATGTAAGAATTTTTATATTTATTTAACATGGCAAATGTACAATATCTGATTTTAAAAAGGAGACGATCAAATCGTATTTGAATATTAAAGACAATTCAAATTGAATTAGCTTAATCAAAAAATGTATTTTTAGCTGGCTTCCAAAGCCATAAAATAATATCATTCAACAATATTAGTTCTCAAAAACAAATTAAAAWTTAATRATTAATATTGGTCTTAAATGTAAATGTATATATAGTGTTCACTGTTCAATATACTACTATGTATACAATTCTCGTATAACCCCTTACACCGAATCCACAAAGTCTGTAAATATAATTTTTTTAAACAATTTAGATGATCCCATCTGTGTTGGRAAAAGTTGAGCTTATGCTTTGTTTTGTTTCTTGCCTTGCATAGGATCAACATTGTATAAAATACCTACAACGGAATGAAATTTGAGATAAAAGACAATTTTTAGTAAATAAAATTAATATTTATGACTGGTGGCTATAATAATTTTATGATTTCAATATAATATACAAATATTAGTGAAAAATATATGATATGAACTAATTTATTATTTAATGTCTAATATATTAAACTTGAAATTCGAGATTAAAAAGAAAATACCTTAGCGTGTTAGTTGCTCGTAGCTATATTATTAAAAATATAAAAAATATTCATTAAAATAATATTTTGGCTATTTACTAAATTAAAATTTTTTTCCCAGCAACAATTTAAATATGGCCAATAAAAAAGGATGGACTTGCTTAATGTATGCTTGCTATTATGGAAACAAAAGTCTTGTCGATCGCATAGTAGATTTAGATCCAACAACGTTGTTCTCGGTCAAYAGCGATAAACAAACACCTTTAATGATTGCCACCATGTCCGGTAACGTATCAATAGTGAAGAAAACATTTCATGTAAGTGAAAATATTTAAAAATTTATTTTTAGTTACCTATTATTAAATAATTACATTTACAATTAAGATTTTAAGTTTAAAATATTTAAATAATGTTCAAAAATCTAAATAATAAAAGAAAAAAACAAATTTCATTACTAATATATTTAAATTATAAAGTTCTTATAAATAAGTGTCAACTAAAAATATTGTAATACCTGAGTAATTATTGATTATAATATGTAATTTTTAGATTTTAAATAAATAGCACCCAATAATCAATATTAAACTAATGTTTTTTAATGAATAAAAATATCTCCCAATGTTGAGTAAAAATATACTTATACAAGTATTTACTTGTAAATCGATATTCATTTTATTTATCTATAGTTAAAATTTATCTATTTACATAAACACGTTAAATATTTTTATTTAATTATTTTTATTTTTCTACACTACAATAACTTGTTGTTAAGCAATTATCAATTATTTCCTATGCATTTGATATTTTATCAAAATAAATATACTTACCTTTAATTTTTGTATTTAAATATTAAATATACCAAATAAAATTATATCGTG